CAACTACAACTACAACTACAACACCACCACCACCACCACCACCACCACCACCACCACCACCACCACCACCACCACCACCAGGAGCAGCAGCAGCACCACCACCACCACCACCAACAGCAGCAACAGCAACAGCAGCAACAGCAACAGCAACGGCAACAGCAACAGCAACAGCAACAACAACAACAACAGCAGCTGCAGCAGAGCAACAGCAACAACGGCATTTCATTCACACGCAGCGGGAGGATGCTCTCTTCCTCGCCTTGCGACAACAACGGCAACAACAGCAGCAACAGCAACAGCAACAGCAACACAGCAGCAGCAACAACAGCAACAACAACAGCACCAGCAGCAACAATAGCGACAGCAACACTGCAACAGCAACAGCAACAACAACACAGAGCTTGTAAGCAGCTCTGCAATGCTGTTGATGGTTCCATGAAGCGGGAGCTACGAGCATGCACGGGAAGGCTCTCTCGCCTTCAGGCGCAATCGACATCCAGTCTGTGGTAACTGTCTTGTCGAGCTTTCCAGAAGACGGCGTCTGTTGTGCACCGGCGGATTGAACATCTTGTCTTTTGTTGGGAATTATTGGCCTTGTGGCTGTTGGACTTTGAGCTTCTTCACCTCGCTGCTTGGATTTTTCCGTTTTGTTGCCCGATTTGATCGGTGTCGAATATGCGACATGGAAATACACAATATCCTCCATGCTCTTTACCGGCCACCACTTCTTTACTTTAGTTCAATTGGCAGGGATCAGAGCCTCTGCTTTATTCGTTGGCTTTCCCCTCCGGCGAACGTCTTGAGGGCTTGTTCTTGCAGCAAGCATGAAAGTCTGCAGTGCCGTGCAGTGCCAATGCCTGCAAGCGCCCGGGCATCCCCAACGCCTCGAGTTGCCTCCGCTCGGATTGAAAAGTCTCGCACAGCGCAGCCGCGGTCTCGCTCACGGCAGTCTGGCCTCCAGTCACCATCGCTTGGTCTCACCGGCAGTGATGCCCGGGGCCAAGCACGAAGACGCTCCGTCCGAGCGTCCTCCCGGCGCTGCAACTAAACATGCCACGCCATTCTGGCCATGGGCCATGCCATGGGCCAACTGCCATGGGTCCAGCTCCAAGTCGTATTGGTCCATGAAGCCTACGCAGCCCAGCACCGCACGAGACACTCCCGCCCCGCGATTGGAGCTTAGCCTTGTCCAAGCATGCCCTGCAAGGCCACACCCACTTCACCGGCAATGCTCCTGCGAAGGCCAAATGGCCCAAGCCCAACAGCGCAAAAAACTTTCTTCCGGACAGACAGATCGAAGGGAACTCAACACACACACACACACACACAAACACAAACACACACACACACACAAACACACACACACACACGGAGTGACCCTCAGTACAACCAAAGTTATACCATAGGTTAGCAGGTTCTCATCCCTGTCATCTGCTGGCCACTGCGAAGCAACAGCTTCTTTGGGGTATGTTTGGGCTGGTAGTTTGGGCTGGCTTTTTCACAGGTACACCAAGCTGATCAAGGTTGGCTTCCTTCTCTGATGCACAGCTTCACTTCTGATGGCCACTGCAAAGCAACAGCTTCTTTGGAGTAGTTTGGGCTGGCCTTTTTCGCAAGTATACCAAGCTGATCAGGCGTTGCTTCCCTCTCTGATGCACAGCTTCGTTGGGCACGGTAGCATCACAGACCGGTACCCCCCTGCTGTTTGTTATGCAATTGCGGGTCCCTTAACTTCAAGGTGGTACACACGCACACATGCACACGCACACTCGTGCAATCCTCCCTTTGGACTGACTTAGCTTACATGATTTCAGTCTTTCCAACACAGAGGACCTTAAGAGGATTTTGGCTTAGTCTGTTGCCATATATCCAGACAAGCACCGGGCTCAAGCACTGCGATTGGGGTCTTTGGCTTAGCCCCGTGCCACTTCAGACATAGCAGGTACGTTTACACCCCTCCCTGGGGGCGTCTTCGTTGGCCAGTGACCCCCAGGGAGAGCACTGGACCCCTGCTTTAAAATTCGTTACCTTGGCAAATAGGTGTTCCACACACACACACACACACACACCCACCCACCCCGCTGTGCGGGGTAGCCGATTGGCTTCTGTTGCTCTCGATGCAGATTTTACTCTGACCATTGAAATGTAAATTCAGCTGTAGGTTCGATGCTCTTTAGCTGTGTGAGAAAAGGCTGATGAGTACCTCGGAGCTGAAGAAAGAAAGCTCGACGAGGTAAATACAATCTTGAGTTCGTGAATGTCTCACTGATCTTTTTCAGATCATCTACGATGCCATCTGCAGGTACTTCAAATCGAACTGAAGTGACTCCATCTTCACATCCTTCTATCGGAAGATTGTGGACCAAAATGACTCTGGTCCTTGCCGGTTGCAGGATCGCTTTGCTAGGTCGAGGATCCAAAGGTAGTTGGTCCCCAGTGAGAGGAAGAGAAGCATCCTCAGCTTTACGCCGCATGGCTGGAAAGATTTTGAAACAAAAGGCTGACAGATGAAGATCAGCCACAATCATTGCATTTTGCAAAGTCACATAGCAGACACCATCGGAGTACAAATTTAGATCTTTTCTGAACAGCATGCAGTCCAGTACCTGAGTTGTCACGAACGAAAGGCTCTGGCAGAAGCCATGAGATCTTCTGTGTCAGAAGTATCAATTGTAGAAACTGCCTGAACTTCACCCGATGGGGGTGCATCCGGGGCAATTTCCTCCTTGGGCTTACTATGTACAGTCCATGGACCCGTCCGTAATGGTCAGGGTGGGCTGGCCTGTTAAGGCTTTGCGCCCTCGCCCTGTCTGTTTGCCACCTTTCCCTGGGAAGTTGGCTTTGGCTCGTTCCGAAAGAACGAAAATGAAATCGATGGGGGCAGCTACAAATCTAGTTGCCCACCTTCGATCTGAAGAGCAGCTATGCGCTAGTGCATAAATTAATAAAACTTTGCCAGACTATTTTCATAACTGACAGATGCACTCTTGCCGTTGACATGGCCCGAGGGCAACAGGCCTGCAAACACTACTCCGGAGCAGTTCTTTGTGGAATGAAAACATTTGCTGGCAAGCTGAACGACTCCTTCATTCCATGCTGGATCGGGCGTGCTCCGCCCATAAAAAGAGAAAGTGCCTTCCTCTGGAGCTAGACCTGCTACAGCATGGTCCGTGGGCAAAACTTTGCCCGTGACCAAAATGTGGCCAAAATGCCTGCGGCTCCTTCTCTGGTAGCGGCGTGAGCCCACAGGTGCCAATTCTGGGCAGCAAGAGGGGGGCCGGGAAAGCCCTCACATCTGAAATGATAGCCTACCACATTCTCTTCTAGTTCTTCGAACCAGGTGGCTCTTTCTGTTTGGTGCCGCTCCAATCTTGATTGCAAAATGCAATTGATCCCGAAATGATCTGGGTACGGATTCTCAAGAATTTGCTCCCGATAAAGAAGAAACTGACTCAAAGTTGACAGTCCTTCAGGGATATGATCCACTGCAGTACGTCCTTTCAGTTGGATTTCGAACTGAGACGAAATGTCTGCACTATCACTATTAGCAGACATAAGGTCTTTCAAAAATTGTCTTGGCATCTACAGGGTGTAGTGCTGCAGGAGGCGCCGATTGACGTGGACCTTCATCAGAAGGTTGCTGATCGGCGGGGAGGGGAGCCGAATGGTGAACTGATGCACCCGCTTGGTCAGCCTTTGCTTGCTTCCCTTGGGGTGGAGCAAGCGGGTGGGCTGGCTTCCGAAAATCCCGTTGCTGAGTAGACTGAGATTGCCCCGAAGGTACCCAAGGTACATTCGTCGGGGGCTGCGGCACTCCAGAAAAATGAGCTGGAGGACGATGTACCCAGCTGAGGGTATGCCGCGGGCACCGTCGGGTAGTGCTTGGCACTGGCATCGGGTGGAGGGGTTGCAGGCGGGTGTGGCCGTGGGGGTGGGGGAAGTTGCCACGAGACCCACCTGCAAACTTGGGGGAGTGGGTGTTGCCTGAAACGCCGTGGGATAATCCCACTGACTTGGCGCATATAGGTCGGGGCCGGAATCGCCGGATTTCCAGGGGGTGTAGTCTTGCGACGGCTTGGGCGAGAGGAGAGGCTCCTGTGCCTTTGGCTCGGTGAGGCTGAGCGGCCTTCGTCCCTGCCTTGCCTGTGGCCTCTGGGTGAAAGGTGGACAGTTGTGGAAGGTCGAGGTCGGGGCGGTGGCGCCGCAGTGATTGCCAACTGATGGGATCTTTGCGACTGCGGGCTGGGGCCTGGGACCCCTGCTTTCCCATCCCCACAGAAAAACTGAAACACGTAGGATGACATGGCTCAGGAGCTGACGTTTTTGGCTGAGGCACACAGATCAGGCACACAGATCTGAAAAGGCTGTGCATTGACATCCGAGAATAAACATTCAGGTCACTCAATGCTGATGGAGAGGCAAAGAAGACATCTCTTTATCAGCAAGTCACGAACTGTACACTCTGTTCAGGCCCGCATATCCACGCCTAGGACAGTCAGAAATATAAAGAAAATGGCAGGAGCATGTAAGTCTGGCTCTGACTAACATTTTGGCACACGCTTTATTGCGTGTGGGTAGAAATCTATGAAACTGCATAGGGTCTCCTAAGGCTTAGGCGGTCTCTTGATCAATTGACCTGAGCCATCTTCCTTTTCACGCTTCGAACTATCGGCAGGCTTGGATCTTTTAGAAGAAGGAGACTTTTTTCGTCTTCTTCTTGTCCTTGATCTTGGTGGAGCTGTGCTTGGACTTCTTGGAAGGTTTATGAACCTTCTTAGCCTTTTTGATCTTGGTCGGCTTGGTGGTAGAAGTCGGAGAATCGAATGCTGAATGCCACGAACTTGTTTCGTCTGAGAGATCAGATTCATCTGAGACTCCATGGCGAAAAGCGAAAGGGCTTGTTCTTTCCGAAAGAAAGAAAAAAGACTTGAAGCCGCAAACAATAACTGAAGTTCTATGAGACAACTGCGTGAACAAAAGTTCGCCTCACAGCAGCTATCTCTTCTCACGGCAAGAAATCCTCGGGCTATGTACAAATTGCGGAGGTCTTGCACTTGGGAGGACCGGGTTCTCGTTGAATGACTGGTAGGCTGCTGAGAACCTGATTGCCTATACGGGTTCCCCGGCGCTGTCGAAACAGAAATCCGAGCGTGGTGAATACACCCGCTTGAAATGACACCTCAACAATAGCTGAGAGATCCGACACACGCAAAAACCGAATGTTGTTTGCACCTCTCGCCCAGGGTTTACCAGGCCAGGCAGACTCACTATTGGGTCTCTTCTGGAGAGATACCGAAATATGTGGTGGATATTCTCTGTCCTGATAGAGCCGTACCAGGGCTGACAAAGAATCTAAGATTTGTTGCCTGGGTACCGAATTAATTGAAAAAGCCAACCAGATCATCGCTGACTTCTGCCAGGTGAACAGTGGGATGTGTGCGATGCAGAAAGTCATGCATACTTCTCCACAACTGGGCGTGGTTGCCAGCCCCATGGCCTCCGGCCAAACCAAGCGAATCATAAGGAGGATTGCTTGAGCTGCTGTTTTCAGCAGCTCTTTGATGCAACGGTTGGAGTACGATATTATCGTTCTCCCATTCAAAATTTTTTCTTTCTCTTTAGGAAGATAAATCCCACTGGGAGAGTGCCTGAGTGGCTTATCTCTGTATCTCCTTTTAGTAGGCCAGGGATGCGATCCAAGACCCAGCGAGTCAGTTGCTTCTGGGATCCGGCAACTGGTTCAAATACGTCAGGATCGTGCCATGTTCTCATGGCCGCCCGGAGATAGAACTGAGGGCAAAAGACCATAAGATGGTCGCAACGAACAACGAAATCTTTGTGAAGCAGACTTCGAGCTACTGAAACGTCTTTCCACGTGAGCCGGGCTTCTTGGCTCCGGTGCTGAATGTGTTTCTCCCACTGACTTTGGAGAACTGCATGAAACTACTAGCTTTGTGGAAAACAGTGTTTTCTCCTCCAAGAAGAAAACATTGTAGCATTACGCTTGAAATTACTCCTAGCATCATACGGTCTTCAAGCCCGGGCTGCTTGTCTGAGCTTGAACCAGGGCAGTGGTTCGGTTTTCAAGGCCTGAACGCTCATACGTTAGGAAAAGACAATTGTATTCATGCGAATCCTGATATTCCTAGCACCCCCCGCAGATCGGGAGTCCGACAGCCATTGGCAGAACTACTGTCGGGAAACACACTGATTGCAGACCAGTCATCCTTATCTAGATGGATGCTGTTTGTGCGAGTCGATTCCATCTTCGGCTTCGACTTGCCAGGTTTTGGGGAGTTTTGTTAGATGGAGCTCCACAGGCCTACTCCATCCCCCTGCATATGAAGTGCGACTTCCTAGGCCCTAAATCCCACACACACACACACACACATACATACATACATACATACATACATACATACATACATACATACATACATCCATACATACATCGCTCGCTCTACTCTGCTGTTGCTCTTTGCTCTCTGCTTCGGCCAAGCCGCAGCTGGGGAAAGTTGTCAACGACCACTCCTGCAGGGCGGAAGCGAAAGTCGCAGCCGTAGCGGCCTCGATTCTGTAACCGGAGCGGCGAGCTCCTGCCATCGGGTCCAAAGGGCAGCGCTTTGCCTTGGGAGCTCTGGGCCAGGCGGAGCGGAGCGGAGCGGAGGCTCTCCGAGGTGGGAGCGGCGTCTTTTTGGGATCCGTCTCCGGGTCCCTCCAACAACGCTGCCCCTTCGACTCGCACCTGCCACAGCCAGCGGAGCAGAGCGGAGCAGAGCGGAGCGGAGCCAAAAAGCTGTCTGCCTGCTGCATGTCCAGGCTCGAGCCCGTGGCGCCTACACCCGAGGAGAAGGAGCCCTCACCTGCGGCACTGCGGCACTCGCAGACTCGCAGGGCTCGCAGGAGTCGCAGCGACTACCTCCCATCGCCAGCTTCAAAGTCTTGCACACCTCATCTGGGTGTCACTGGGGTTCCGGCACCGTTCGGCTGGGTCCCGCGCGTCTGTGGTTAGCATCACGGCTGCAGTGAGACCTCAGCAAATTGCCCGCAACTTTTGGCGCTCTCTGAGGCTGTGGGCTGTGGGCCTGAGTCAAGCAGAAGAGTCAAGTTGGTCCTACAAGAGGCCCGGAAGGTCACAGGCGAGTGCGTTATTGCTCGCACAGTTAGGTGTTGCTGATAGTCTGAAGATTTGGAATCTGTTCGCTGGCCCCGAGAGGGACAAAGGCACTTGAGTTCAGCGACCGGATCGCAAGGAGGACACCCCGATCCCCAATCACGCTGTCCTTGGAAACCTGTCCGGCTCGACAGCTCTGAAGGCCTCCAGGCTGTCATGGAAAACGGGAACTGCAGGATTCGGGGCTGCTGCGTCCGCCGGAGGAACGGAGAGCATCAACAAGAAGTAGGCCCCACCTCGGTCGGAGTCGGAGGGCTCCGAGTCCGAGGCTGCACGCAAAGCAGAGGCGAGGCGAGGCGAGGCGAGGCGAGCACCAATGAAGCGCGTGGGGAGCTTCAGCAGCTGAAGGCGGCCTTTCAGGGCAGAACCCTGCGAGTAGATCGGAGCGGAGGCCGCGACCTTCTAGCGTCGGCGCCGGCAGTGCAGGAGCCTTGCCCAACTCCTCCAGCAACATGACGGGGCTGCCCGAACCTACCAGAAGTGTGCTTGTCCTGACTGGCGGGCGCCAGGTGCAGCGCCACCTGGCATGAGCTGCGACTATAGCGGTCAAGTATAGCAGGACCTCAGTGAGGCACCTTGGAACTTCGGGAACTAGCGGAACTTGTGGAACAGGAAAAACTGCGGCAGGTGCCTGAAGGCGCAGCCGTCACCTTGAAATCAAACCTCTGATAGAGATCCTTGGCCTCTGTAGAGAGGAGCTCCAAAGGCTCTGCAAGGGACTCCTCGGAGCACCAGCACCTGCTCAGAACGCGGAGACGCGGAGTGCAGCGTCACTTCGCGCAGAGCATCTCTCGCCTGCAAGGCCAGTGTCAGAAGGAAAGCCAACTGCCCAGCACGTCTCGCTCGGCTCCGTCGGCGTGTGCGAGCCCGGGGCCGGGGTCCATCTGTGGCCGCAGTTGGACACAAGTCACAGAGCTCATGCAGGTCACGCAGGTCACGCAGCATGCATCCACGGTACGTTGCGAGAGGGCCACTCGTCGCCTGACCAGGGCACGAGACCGCGAGACCCTGCAACTCGACGCAGCTCCGAAGTCTCAGCTCTCCGCGCCGCGCCTCGGCACCTGTCCACAACTGCCGCTGTGGCTCCCCACGCTCCTCGCACCTTCACCAACCCAGATATGGACTTGGAGCGGACACGACGGAATGACATGACGTGGAGGGCAGAACAAGACGCCCCGCCCCCGCCCCATAAAACCACGCACACCCCTTTGCTCGCTGCGCAGTCGGAGAGAGTGCTACACACTTTTCGTGGCTCCTCCTTCTAATGCGCTCCTGACCTCATTTGGAGGCCAACCGGAGCTGGAACTTGAAACCCGGTGTACGGCGTGTACAGCTCTAAATCGATCACTGGGGACGCGAGGGTCGTCCCCTTGCCTGCAAAGCACAGATCCGAGAGCGAGCTGCAGCGAGCTGCGGAGAGCGAGCAGGGTGCTGCGCAGAAGAGCAGAGCCGAGCCGATGGCACATCCAGCTTCTAGAAAACTGCCTCAAGCTGAGAGCCAGAACCCCCCAAAAAGCGCCAGAGAGCGAGGCCCCCCACTTCGGCCTCAACCTTTGATCCAAACGCAAAACTCCGCACCGAAGCAGCCGACCTCCACGGAACTACGACAATCGGTGTAGCAAAAGCAATGCTTTATCCGAACTGTCCCGCTCCTTCCATCCACCACCAGGGCTCCAGTCATTGGTCCCGATCTTTATCGCGACCTCGGCTGAAGCAGGGTGACAAGAAGCATCATCAATGCTCCAAATGCCAATGCTTGCGAGGACAAGCAAGACGAGCCCTTGAGCGCGGCACATTTCCGCCAATGGTGGCAGCGTAAAGCCCATGAGCTGGCAGGGAAGGCAATCTCAAAACATAAACCATGTTGAACGTTTCTAGCTGCGAGGGCCATCTTAACGAAAGAAGCATTTATACGTCCGCTCGGCCGACGCTCAGCCGAAAGAAGAGGGCTTTGCTGCAATTCCACCGGATGATAAGAACAGGCTGGGATTGAGGAGATAAGTTTCTACAGAATCGTGATTTCATCCTTCAAACCCAGGTCCTGCCCACAGCTGAATCGTCGGGCCACGGTATCGCAAAACAACTCATTGAAAGCCGAATCCAGCCTGGTATCTATATTATGTGTGCAGAACCGTCCTCCTCCGATTCGTGCTACACGTGGCCTTCCTGTCTGGCCCAAGACCCTCCCGTTTTTTCGTTGCGCCGGAGCCGCGCAGTTTAGTTCCTTTTCCAAGGCCTCCCCCCGCAATCGTTGTTTGCTGCCTGGGAACTGCTTGGACAGCCAGCAGTATACTCTGGCGCGTGGGTGTGTTTGTTCCTGGCGGGAATTTTCCACAGCTTTTGCCAACTTCCGCCCGGGTATTTCTCGTGGCGGCGCCGGCTGTGTATCTCAATTTATGTAATATACATCATGTTCTTGGATTCCGGAAGTCTGAACAGGACTAAAAGCTTCGGTCGGTGTCAAACGACATCCAAAGAGGGAGCCGGAATATGTGGCTCAGCGTCATTCCAAAATCTGAACCAGTCAACTCCGCAAGCAACACGCGAAACATATGTTTACACCCCAAATACTTATGTGAGGGATATCGGGAATCTTCAATGCAAGTGAAACTCAAATCATAGTAAATAGATTAGAATCTAGCTCCATATACATAACAGAACATGGAAAAAGGCGGAAATCAAGCGTGACAGCAGCTACAGCTTGCCGAAAGGAAGTTGCGTGAAACACAGGGCCATCCGCAACGCGTCGCACACACTGCACCAGCGAAGTTGCCTTCCGCAGACGAAGTTTGCATGTGCACTGAGCTTAGCCAGCAGTTTGAATTCAGCAACGCGGTAGGACTGCCCCGCCATATTGGAACCACTCAGATCTCTGTCAGCGAACCAGTAACACTTGTACGGGACCTCAGACTTCCCGGAGGTCCAGCCACCAATCCGCATCTCGGCAACTTCCGCTTTCGCATCGGAACGCAGAAGCTCCTTCATCTTGCGCCGTTCTCGCGGCACATGGACGCACAGATCTTTCATGAAGAAATTTTCATGAAAGGTGAGGATCAAGAAACCGTTTTGGCAATTTCAAGATGTGACAGCGGGTGTGAGAAGAGGCAGAATGACTAGCCCAAGCGACAATCGACCTACCACAGGGCTCAAGTCAGGAACGTTCACGCACCAATCGGGCTTCACCTGCGATTCCAACACACCCTTCACTCGATGCGAAGTCCGATCCATCCATGCTCATCTGCTCCCTGGAACTGATGCCGTGCAAATGGAACGCCTAGCAGCCTAGCAGTTCCAACCGCAACATGGAGGCTAAGATCCGCGGTAAGCCTTGGGCTGATTCTATGATGTAGCAAAGATCGTCTACGTGTGTCAAAAGTTGCGACATCCTGTTGAGCATAATCGAGGGATCTGCGAAGCCGGAAACGAGTCTGTACGACCGTTTACAATCCCAAAATGTTCCTACCGTGCTCGGGGAAACGCAGTTCTTGTGACGTGCTCTGCATGCCTGTCTTGTCCAATCAGCGCGACGGACCTTGACCAAGCGGTGCGCCCGAGATATGTCACCGGACTCGGAGGGCAAGCTTTGGGCCTCACGGGCCTGTTGACAGTCCCCGTAGTACGGTCGTTGGCCACAACCCGGTTCAAGACAGTCATGCTGTCCTTCTCGCATCCAGGTCCTATGTGGCCATCTTCCGAAAGGATGTTGTTGGTGTCCATCTGCATCTGCAAAGGCGAGAAGATCATGTCCATGCACCAGTAGCCTCACATCCATGGCCAGGTCATGGAAGGTACAAGGGGGTGCTTTTCCAACAACGAAATTATTGTGTTTTCGAAGCAAACCAGGCTAGCTCGTCTGGTCCTCCAAAGTGCCCTACCTCTCTCATCTCTCGTTGTGCGCTCAGTCCTGCCAGTTTTGCTTTCTCGAGCTGAGCTAAGCTCTCGTGCCACACCTTTATGTTGCAAAGCTTATTCAGCGCTGCAGCGGGTTGCCCTTCTTGTCGGAATGGCCTGCAATCAGCTTTTCGCTCTCGTTCACTTTCACATTTGCACATTGCCCTTCGACCAAATCTGGGCAAGTTCATGCAACCTTGTTGGTGTCAAACGCGCACTGTACCAACTGAAACGGCACGGTGGGCAGCCTTCCGCCAGGAACTTCGGCTTCCTTCCAACTTTTCGATAAGACGTCGATGTCCAGCTTGATCGTTGGCTGGCGGCGGGTTTGCGGCGTGGTGCGCATGTCTGGCGTGTCGGTGTGAATGGTCCAAACCGGGACCTGCAAAGCCACTTGCACCTCCTTGCAAGCTGGCCCGATAACCCGCGCGTCTGGGCCATCTCCATAGGCAAGGCCGGGACCGCGGCGCTGCTACAACCTCAGAGCAGGCTGGTCTTTCTGGACCCTTTTCGCGTGCTGGCAGACCCATCAGCTGCGCATCACATCCAGGAACACGTCAATATCTTTTCGGACTTCATGACGTAACGATTTCCTGCCTTGAAGTGCCGGTGCTGTGGCGAAGGCTGTTCTCATTCGAATGCCGGCATGCCAAGTTTTTTTTGGGCGGCGCCCGGTAACCCGCGCAGCGCACGGAATCCTATCATCATCGGGCCTGCTGTGCGGATAGTGGCCCCGGGATATTCTTTCCGACGTTATGATCAACAGGCTGTGTTCCTCGACGCCGTCCCGATGCATCGTCCCATACAGACTCTGGCCTTCGAGCTGCCTCGCCTGTGTCTCGACCCAACCGGCTTGAACATCAGTTCAGTGGTAAGTCGTTTCGGAGGTCGACCCAGCGTCCTTTCATGTGAGCAGACGTGCCGTCCTCACAGAAGTGAGAACGTGTCATGAGAAAGGCCGTGCATCTCGCGATCCAGAGGATAGCTCCGAAAACTGTATAACTCGAACCAGTCGCTTCACTTCACTTCCTTCACTGCTGCCTCGCTGGCGCGTTTTCATGTGCTGTGCTCGTCGGGCATTCCCTCAGATCGAACTCCACACCTTTCACCTTTTCGCTGGCCTTGAGTGCCGTCATGGCGTTCTCGTTGTCCGAAAACAGACACATCTTCTTCCAACCGGCCTCATGCCTGCAAGCCACGGCACATTCCAAGGGTGTGTTCCCTTCTCGGGCACAATCGTAGCACAGGTTCGCTGCATCTTGTCGCACCCACAAGCTCTCTCTCGCTCGGGCTCTTTTCCTCTTCTGCTCCCACATAAAGGTTGTTCGCATCTGTTTCCTGCCAGCCGTCCTCCCAGGCTTCGCCCCACAGTCTCCGTCTTGCCAGTTTTCGTTTCCTTCTCCATCTTCCCTATTTTCGTCTCGGTCTCCTGTTCCTGTTGCCGGATCTCCTTCTACGTTGCCTCCTTTCTTGCCTTTTCATCCTTTCTTTCCCTTTGCTTCCTTTTCCTTTTCCCTTTTGGGCTACCCATTTGGGGAGTAACGGCAACCATTTCTGGTTCCCGTTACGAGGGCGAGTGGGAGCGTAACAGAAACTGTCCCACGAAAGCCAAGCAACCGAAACTATGCTGGAACTTTTGTATGGGGGACCGGTTTTCGGTCCCCTACTTTGACACCATGAAAGCCTTATGCTGACGCCTATGTTTCGCTCGAGGCCTGTAGACTCTTTGTCTCTCTGAGTTTCGCACTGCACTCTCTCCTCACTGGAACTCAAGCCTGCGGTCGCGCCTGCACAGTGGATGTGCAGCTGGGACGTGGAATGCACGTTCGCGTCTCTCCGAACAGCACCTCCGCACGTCCGCAGTTCGTTAGCTTCCTTCGTGAGAACTTCTACGGTTTGCAGAGCGGTGTTTCGCTATGCAGCTGGAGGCTGGAGGCCTGCCTCTCAGCACTCAGAAGTGCTTGCGCAGACCACGAGTCAGCAAGGAACTGTGGCTTTTGTGGTTGAGTCTGGTCCGGGGCAAACAAACCGTGCGGTGTTGCTCCGAGCTGCCCCTTTGATCATGCCAAGATGAAGATTCCACTGTTATCAAAAAGGCACACAAAGACAAGCTCCCAAAGGTTCACAAAAGCATCCGCCCGGTCCCGAGGCGGACAGAGTTCCAGCAGCTTTTCGCGGACATAGGGTGCCCGGACCTCAGCCAGCAAGCGCACATGCGGGAAGTCGCTACACTTCAACGTTCGCTTCACTGGTCAAAAGATTCTGCCGGAGAGCGTAATCCCAGTGGAAGACGCAGGGCGTACCCGGGTGCGTCAAGATCAGGGCATAGGCCCGCAGCACCTGCAGCAGCCAGAAGCAGAATCCACCGGCGAGCCGGGGAGGCGGCAGCGAGCCCTTCGCCCTTCGCCCTTCGCCCTTCGCCCTTCGGCCTGGTCGTTGTTGCCAAAACATCCCCCGACCTCGCGAGCGAAAACAGGGCACGCCACGGCCCCCAGGGCCTTAGCGACTCGAGGCCACGGCAATGGCGAGCTGGTAGGTGTCGTGATTGTCGATGAAGGTACCTCGACGGAGAATGCACCCAACACCTCTGTCATGCAAGAAGAGGTGTTGTGATGCAAGAGCCCTTCGCACCGAGACTTGGGCAAGGAAGGATCTCTCTCTCTCTCTCTTTTCGTGGAATCTTTTGAGAAAACGGCATACGGCAGACGCTTCAACATCAGATGCCCTCAAAGAAGGAAGCCCAAAGGTGATTGGGTTTGAACTCGGGGGGGTGGCCTTGGCGGTACCCCCTCAGAGCTTTGGCCACGAGCCACCGGTCCTTCCCACGGCGGTCTCGGGGCCGGCGATGTGTCTCTGGTCGTTTTTACGTCTTGTCGGAAGCTTCAACCGTGGGAAAGCCGAAGACCTTTGAGCTGACATCTTAATGATTTCGGCCAGACAACGCCTCCAACCTGCCATGGCCCTCCCGCTGGGCCCTCGCCAAGAAACACTGACCCACGGCATCGAAAGACGAGCTGATCTTGTTGAGTAGCTGGCAGCTGGCATCGGAGGACGCAGCCGAATGCAGTACTAGCGGCGGCTGCGGCCCTCGGACAGCTCGCGGCATGCCAGGACTGCGACTGGACTTGGAGCAGAGCCCTGCCGACGCATTTCTGCAAGGCACAGTTCTCTGCGCAGCTTCCAGCCCACCGCACCGCTCCGAAAGCCATGGCGTCGAGGGCACTGCACTGCTGCTCTAATCGGCCAACCGCTTTCTGGGCGCACAGGACCGCGCAGGATCCCGACCCGCGATGCCCGCGAGGCGCCCACCGCAGTTCAGCTCCTTCCGTATGCGGCAGAGAATTCACCTAGCCCCTCGGCTCCCCCGGGCGGAGTGGGCCTCAAAGTTGTTGCTGTGGATGCAGCGCTTCAGGACGTAGTACAACCTCGAAGCGGAAGGCGACAGCGGGGCTCGCGGCGGCGAACGCGAAATCACTCACTCGCTCCGCCAAAAAGCGGGAAGTCGTAGACGGCCATCTTGCCTTGACACTCTCGAACATAGTCGTGCAGCCTCGGAATTCCGGCGAATGGAGCGGCACACTTTCGAGAAGATGGTTTAAATGGCCCTTGAGGAAGACGGAGAGCAGCGAGAGTGAATCGAGGAAGGGATCTGCTCAACTTTGCACTCCCGCTGGGGATCTGAGACTTTCTCAGACCTTGACCCATTCACGTCACCGTTCCAGTTCTCGGCAACAGCAAAGGGCTCCCCCGCTGCCTTCACGTAGTCCTGATGCAGGGACACTGCGCTGTCGGCGAGTCGAAGTCGAAGTCGACAAAGCGGGGCCCGGGGTCCCCACTGTCTGGAAGCGGGGCGCGTAACCCTTGACGAAGTCGAAGCGCAGAGCGCGGAAGCCGATCTGAACACATGTCACTGAAGCTGACACGTGTTTCAGCCCGCAGCCCACTGATGCCCTCTGCGGCCTCGTCCATCAAGTAGCGGATGTACTCGTTCACGTCGGAGCGGATGCGAGGATTGGAGTGGTCCACGCTGGGCGCGTACCTCCCAAAACAAGCCGCTGGATGCAGCTGTGGCGCCGCCTTATAACGGGCCGGCGCCACGTCCCTTTGAATTGGGCGCACGCGGCCGGCTCGCCTGTGGTGTGGGCACCGCTGCCCCCGGGCACCGCCGGGGAGTTGCAGCACACGGCCCAGCCCTCCCAGTCCGGCTCCTCGCAGATCGCAGAGAGCCGCAGAGCGGCCCCGCAACGGCGGCTCGCGCCTCGAACTTCAGCCAGCGCCCTGCGGAGTCCTCGTTTCCGCACTCAATTAACCCGCTGCCGAACGGCCGCTCGGGCTCTGCCCGCCTGCAAGGAGGCGCAGCGGTGGTTCACGACGACGTCCAACATGGGCACGATCTCCTGCCAGCGAGCTGCGCGGGTCTCCGGCTGCACCGGCAATACGCGCGGCCCGCGCCTGCTCGTGCATGCTGCCGATTAGGTGCTGCAGCTCCTGCACAGCAAACTGCACAGCAAGGCCCCCCGATCGAAACACACAATGTCTGATGTTCCTCGGCAGTGCCGTAGTTGTTGTCCAAGACCTCGCAGCGAAAGGTGGAGGCACAGATCCACAGATCTCTCCCCCGTCTCTGCAGAGACGGCTCAGAAACGAGGGCGTCACGTACCACTTCCTGCAGGGAAGACTTTCCTGGGGCTCCTCGCTTATTGGGGGGATTTGGGATGTGTCCTGGGCAAGTAGCCGTGGTCATCCACGGAGTCGGAGGGCGGCGGGAGCCTGCTGAGACTGCATCTTTCGACTCTGCGACTGGCGGACCGACGTGGCATCTTGGAGTCCGGGCCAGCACATGTTGATGCCTGCAGTCTGGCTACCAGTCTACGCCGCGTCTATCCCCCCGAGCCACGGCTTGGCTCCGAGCCGGCGCTGCGCAGCTCCGGCAAAAGGCCCAAAAGCACATTGTACCAGGACGGAGCCTCTGTCGGCTCGGAGGCGCACTGGGCTCTGCAAAAGCGCTCCCTGTTGCCCCGGCCTTATGGCTTCCCCAGTCGAAGGCCTGGAACATGATGATGCACCTCCAACCGGCCGGCTGCTGGACCGGGAGTGCCCTTTCCGCCCCGCACCTCTGCTCGCCCAGCTTCGGTGGGTCCAGGAAGGCCGTTGCGCGAACCTCCGAGCGTGCTTGCCAGTGTCGCGGCGTCGCACGCCGGTCCGAGCGTCGCGGCTACCTGCCTGCGCCGGTTCGCTCGCAGGGCCAATCACGTCCGGCAAGACGTTGTCCTGCAAAGCTGCTTTGGGCAGACAGCGATCAGAAGCAGGCAGAGCTGTCTCCAGGAACTGCGAGCCACAGCGCCTGAGCGGCTCAGACGACACCGTTTTTTTCGACTCTTTGCTCTCTCCGTGCCTTCCCTCCTACGTAGGGCCGAGGCTGGACCACACCGCCCTGCTTGAGTTGTGTGGCACGCTCCGGGCCCAGCTGCACCGCCCGCACCTGCGAGCAAAGCGAGTTCGCAGATCCATACCCCGGTCTCAAACACATGGCAAAGCAGAAATCGAGGGCCGAATCCAAAGTCGCGACGCTTGGGGCTTGGGGTGAGGCTGCGCGGACTGCGGGGGAAGGCAAAGGGTGCAGACTGTCGGTAAAAGACAGGTTGCAATTCCAGGAGCGTCATGCGGCACAATCAACGTGTTTGGGGGTGTCAAGACCCTCAACTGCTACTGACTGCTACTGTCCTGCAGCCCCCCGCCGCTTACAAGAGAGGATCGGAAGAAGGCGAAGCTTTGCAACGCAGCCAACAGTTCACGTTACACCCTTTGTAGAACACCGCTTTACAAACTAGTTGATACTCGTGCGTGCATGCAATGTATTGGAAGATATGGCACAGCAAAACCATGGAATGGCCACATAACCTGAACTCCCCATACTATACCAAATCAAGCCCTGAACCCTGAACTTAACCTGCCGCCCTACCGGACCCTTCCGATCTTGAACTCACTCGCTCCCCATGTTGTGTTGCCGGGTTGTCGCCCATACCGTCGACCATTGTGCACACGGCCATGTCCCAATCGCCTGGTAGGAGTAACATTCGCCAAGCTGCACGCCGGTGTCCGTCCAGGCCATTCCGTCCTGGGCAACCGCGCAAGCACACGCTCCGTAAGCAAGACACAAATTGTTCTGCAAAGCACACACACACACACACACTCGTGCAATCCTCCCTCTGGACTGATTTAGCATACATGATAGCAGTCATTCCAACACAGAGGAGTAGGACCTGAACAGGATTTTGGCTTAGCCTCTTGCCATCCGTCTGGACATACATAAATCACTGCAGCACAGGTATCACTGATATGTGCACAACTGATGCAGTAACAACTGAGTCCCCAAGCTGCCACAATCGTGACCCATGAGCAACTCTTTGCAGGTACACGAGATTGATCAGTTCTCGCTTCCCACTCTTGTCCACAGTTTCGTTGCATGTGGTAGGACATGAGTGCCACATGCCCCTGCAAAGTTACAAGCAATGCAGACCTTAGCAAACAGGTTTTCCACACACACACACACACACACGCTTTGCGGGGTAGCCACTTGGCTTCTTCTGTAACTCAGCATGGTTCACTCCGACCAGCGAAAGGTAAACTCAGCAGACTGTTCAAAGCTTTTCAGCTGTTTGAAAAAAGGCTGATGAATACCTCGGAGATGGAGGCAGAAAGCTCTACGAGGTAAATAGAATCTTTCATTGGTGAGCCTCTCACTGACGTTCTTCTTGATGTCATCTATGATGCCATCGGCTGGTACTTCAAACCGAAGTGAAGCAACACCATCTTCACATCCTTCAATCGGAAGGTTGTGGACCACTACGAATTTGGTCCTGGATGGTGATGGAACAGTTTTGCTCGGTCGCGGATCTTCAGGTAATTGATCCCCACTATGAGGAAGGAGGGCATCATCCGCTTTGCGCCGCATGGCTGGAAAAAGTTTGAAATGAAAAGGCTGATGACAACTGGAAAACGTGCACACAAGGTTGCAGCACAACATGAAACAGAAGAGAATACCAAAACAGAATAACAAACTTAGGCATTCAGATTTCTTGAACGCCATGCGATGCATTGTAACTCGAATCATGCAGCATCCCCACGGAAAGCTTTAGCAGAAGCCATGAGGTCCTCTAAATCGGAGGCCTCGGGGGTAACGGCTTGAGCTGCTTCAAATGCCCCTTGCGACGGCATTTCTGTAGGGGTCTCCTCCTTGGCTTTGCTATGTACAGCATGGTCTCCAGAAGGAAAAGTCCATAGGCCCCATGACTCATCAGCTGTCCCGTCTGTAATAGCAAGGGTGGGCTGGCCTTTAATAATTTTGCGCCCTCTTGCTGCCTGATGACCGCCGTCTGGAGGGTAATTGGCTTTGGCTCGCTCGGACAGGACGAAAATGAAATCGATGCGGGCAGCTACAAATCTTATTGCCCAGAGACGATCCGAGGAGCAGCTATGCACAAGTGCATGAAACTTTGCCAAGTTATTTTCATGACTGACAGATGCACTCTTTCCTTTGTCATGGCCAGGCCAGCGAAAACCACTCCGGAGCAATTCTTTGTTGAGTGGAAACATTTGCTGGCAAGCTGTATAACTCCTTCATGCCATTCAGGATTGGGAGTACTTCGCCCATAAAAGGAAAACGTGTCCTCTTCTTGAGCAAGACATGCAACGGCATGGTAGGACTTTGCCCGTGGCCAAAATGCCTGTGGCTCCAAGAGGGGGCCGGGAAAACCCTCGCAGCGAAATCGGTAGCCTACCACATTTTCTTCCAGTTCTTGGAACCAGCTATAGTGCTCCTTCAGTGATGGGGCCTTCGTAGTTTAGTCTTGATTGCAGAATGCAATCAATGAACCCGTAAAACTCGGATCGACCAATTGAATTAGGAGGCACCGGCTCTGAAAAAAGACTCAACAAATATCTAGCACAACGATCCCTCTCCGGGTCTCTGAGGGATGAAAAGGGTCGCTGATATTTGCGAATGAGCATTGCTCGATCGGCATTGGTACGCAGAGCCTTCCAAGGAGCCATAACCCATTGACCCGAGTATGGGTTCTGAAGAAGTTGCTCCCTGTACAAAAGGAACTGACTCAATGTGGACGGCAACACAGTGTCAGGAAATCCTCGAGCTATGTACAAATTACGAAGAGCCTGCACTTGTTGGGATCGTTGGTTCGGAGAACCCCAAAAATTGATGGTTGGTGACTTCTTCAAGCTGGATAGTCCCCCGTAGAAAGAGAGATTCTGGAAATCTTTCAAGCGCTGATGTGAAAGAGCGGTTTCATCACACGGTATCAGTCGGTTATGGACGTACCTGCAGACAAACAATTCGGAAGCTGCAGTGTCAAAGAACCGAGCTGATGCCAGAAACTGTGCCCATTCTCTCTGCCAGCTTGATTCTCGCTGGATGACAGGTAAGCTGCTAAGTTTAGAACTCTCGTCTTGCACTGGACGAGGATCAGCCATGTGTCTGCTCAGAGCTTTCAGCCCTGCGGCGAAGCACGGCTCGCGCATGGTGACTGCGCAGCAGGACAGAAAGCTCCTGTAGCAACTCTGCATGGAGTTGGGCCGCGTCCGAGCCCGCGAGATCAGCAAGAGGATCTTGGAAGCAGACTGCGACCAGGCGAAGTTGAGAACTTGTAGTGCAACTGGTTGGCTGCTGCCAAGGCCGTTTGACCTGCCTGCGAGGGTCTCCTGCTGCTCAAAAACCGTGACTGCAGGAGACATCGGCGCGACGTCTTTGGCCAACCGAGTCTCGTCAGGCCGCCAGGCCTTTGAGGGAGCAGCAGGCCGCGCATCCCCGGTCCCCTACATGGACGGGGTTTGCGCTGAATCTGAGGCCGGCGCCACATCCGATCAAGCAACTGCTTGCTCACATGTAGAACGGCAAACATTAGTGCGCTTAGTGACTGATTTGTTCTCCTGGGAATTGCCAACCGTCGGTTGTGTATCAGGCACTGTGAGAATTCGGCTGTTGCGTTTGCCCGTTAAGGGCAGCCAAATCAGCAACAAAATCAACACATCTTGCGTTCTCTTTTGTTTGCCAAACAACTCACAAACAATTCACCGACTGCTTCAATCATCTCTGTAAGCCTTTGCCTCAGCTGAACTTGTGTGACATCGAATTGTCGATGCTGCAGCTGACGAACTGAAATTTCATCTTCACGAACAGCCCGAAGGTCCTCTTTGATTCGTAGGACTTCTGCTTGCGCGTACGAAAGCCAACCTTGTAAAGGCGCAAGAGGATCAAGCGCTGTTGCAAAAACACACAACTCTTTCACTTCAAGCACAAAAGCCTTCAGGTCTCGCAGTCGGCTCAAACGGGAAAACAGGAGCTACAAGGGAAATTTAATGCTTTGCACCTCTCCTTGAGATACCTTGGTAGCTTAAACCAAGGTTTCTCACCGAAACTTCTTCACAAGCGCACGCCGATATCCATTCTGGATCGTACATGTTCGCTTTAACTCAAAACACTCTGCGATCGACCTTTACATGCTGTACAGCACTTTGTACAACTACACACCTACTAGAGTCAGGTCCCTTCTTGAGGGGAATCGTCATTTTGTTCTAGTCCTGACCTCCCTTACCAAAGCACCGACAACAGCTTGCGCACAACTCTTTCTCATCTTCGGGAGATTCTTGTTCCTACGAGCTGGGCTTTCTAAAAAAAAACTCTGACCACTGTACAAAGCGGCACACACAAGTAGCTATGAAGTCGGATTTAAACGCGCAGGCCATTGCTAAGCCCAAAAGCGACATTTCTGACTTCTGAAGAAAAGCTGTACATGTGGCATCTCACTGCATTCACTGCTTCACGGCCGACACTGCTTACATGGCTTGAGGCACTTCGACACTGCGTAGGCCCTTGAGATCTCCTTCACATTCTCCGGTAAGTCTCTGACCCATTTCTGGATCATCCCACACTGGCGCGCGTGGTAGGCTTTCTTCTTGCGCGGCTCGCCGATCAGGTAGACCCTGTCCGGCCCAATCGGCATCTGGTTGTTTGTGTTACCACGTAGACCTCGTTCTCGATCGTCACCATCATCCGCCTGCGGAGTGAACGTGCAAAAAACACACGATTCTTTCACTTCAAGCACAAAAGCCTTCAAGTCTCGCAGTTTGCTCAATCGGGAAAACATGAGCTACGAGGGAAATTTAATGCTTTGCACCCCTCCTTGAGATACCTTGGAGCTAACCATCTGATCCCGAACTGCCCCTCGATGACGTCAGCCTGTAAGTACAGTAGAATGCCTACGGCCGTCCGGAACAAGGAAGCACTCTCACCATCGAGTTCATCATCTTCTGTTGGCACGTTGGTGGGCATGGGGCTGCTTTTGGGTGCACTGCGGCTCAGGTTGAACATGTCAACCAGACGTTCGACATGTCGTGGGTGTGGCTGAATGACCAACAAATCTTCCCTAACAAGCCTATAGCTTTTCTTCAGAAATCCAACCTCATCGCCATGGGCACACAACCAACTCACCGTGCACTTATACTTCTCTTGCACGCAAGAAACCATTCTTTCAAGTCCTGAGCGCTGCCCTTCACTGAACAAATCGTCCACATGAGGGAGACCTGCGACACTCACCTCGCGCAACCTGAACAGTGCAGGACATGGAATGTAGGGTTCAAGTCCAAGCTTGCTGTCAAGATAGGCTGTAAAAGCCTCATGCCATCGCACAGTTCCATCTCGTTGCCCCGGCAGAAGCTTCACCAAACGGAAATGTTGCACACGCTCCTGCTGGTCACCTAGCCTAGCATGCACTACCGTGGGTATGCGCTGATCCACAGTGAGGAAGGTATCTGCCACATTCAAGAACACAGCATACATGGCCTTCAGCTTTGCACCGCATAAAGACGCTGGGCAACAATCTGGTCAAAAGACTACTTGAGGCAGGCGCGAACAGCTCGGTGCGGTCCTTATCGAGCCATGCGTACTCGCGCCCTACGAACCTTGATCTCCTCAAGTATTGCTGCTCCTCACGGCCATCGGGAAACTTGCGCATCTTTATTCTCCAGCTGCGCACAAACTTGGTTGACAACAACCTGGAGCCTTCATGCTGTGCCTGGGTAGCGGCTGCCTCGGTGAGGGGCTCC